TAAATTTATCAAAGTCCTGAATACAAGTCAATGCACAAACTTAATTAGTTTAAATATACCATCAACAAGTAATTAGAAACTAAGCAAACAAGTAACAAATATTTTCAGACTTAAAAAGACTTTACATATCCAGAAATAAACCTAACAAAGGATTGGTATAACCTGTATACAGAAAATTACTAAGTGTAGAAGAAAAGCACCTTAAGGACCAAAGTGAATGGGTGCATATGCGACATTCAAAGGTGAGAAACACAATACAAAAGGGATTCTAGAAGTCAAGATCGCAAAATGTGTTTTGGAACTCAAGGCAGAGAAAATTTCATATGCAACACAAAAAAGCCTAAATATAAAAAAAGTAAAAGTGCTAAACTGGATATAATAGTTCAAATGTCTCTTCAAAACATACCATTAGAAGGGTAAAAGGAAATTCCCATGAGATGAAAGACAATTATATGCATTCAACAAAAACAAAGAGCTGTTATAAACAATAAAGAGGAGAAAAGATAAAGACAAAAGGGTACAAATGATATAAATAAGAAGTTTACAAAATATATATGAAGATATATTCAATGTACTACTAGACTGACTAAAATCAAAGACTAAGAACACGGAGAGTTGACAAGGAACAGCTGGAAGTGCCACTGGTGATGAGAGTTCAAATTAATATGACTACTTTGGAAACATGTTTAGCAATCATGATTTAAGCTAGGTACAACATACCCCTGATCTAGCAATATTATTTCTAGGAACATACGCAACAGAATGAACACACAATGGAGGACATTTACAATTATGTTCTTCAAAGTCTTATTCACAATAACCTCAAACTCCAAATAAACGACATATGTATCTAGGAGTGACAGTGTGGACAGTCACTTATTCATACAATGCAATAGTATACACCAGTGATGGCAAACCTTTTGGAGCTTCCACTGATACAAACAGCCTGCTGTGGAATGCATGCTATAGGTTCGCCACCACTGCTACAGACCACGGCTGCCAAACTTGAGCATGTAGCAGAATCACTTTAAGGTTTGTCACAGATTGCTGGGTCTGATCCTCACAGTTTCCTGTTAAAAAGGCTAGAAAAACCACACTAACAGGAGCATTCCACAGCTACATCAATGAAGAGTAGCAAGTTAGTAGCGGACGTAACCATGGAAAAAGGTACAGATTCAGTGGCGCACCAAAGAGTATACACCATGGTTCCATTTATGAGGTTTAAACCCAGGCCAGATTAACCTATGGTGCTTAAAATAGTACATATCTTAGTAGATTCTGACCTGGAGGAGGCAGGAAGGAGACTCCTGAAGTCCTGGAAAGGTCCCGCATTTGGACTGGCTGGGGGCTGCACAGGTGCTGCTGAGTCTGGCAGCCCCTAAGGAATCGCTATTCCTGCCTGGGATCTGGGACTGACTGTGTGACTCAACAGTGCGTGGCAGAAGTGACATGGTATTCATTTTAGATAGTCTTCACAAGGGTTGACAGACAGGCATGGCAATGGCACTACTGTGACAGGTTGAGGAATGAGGATTACAATTTTGAGCCCAGACTGGCAACTTAGTGAGACCCTGTTTCAAAATTAAAAAATGAAAATAGGGCTGGGGATGTAGCTGTGCAAACGGCCTGGGTTTAATGCCTTGTACCCTCCTCCCAAAATAGCCCCAAGGGCCTTCATATTTGTATTTTTAGGAATTCTGTCATCTGGGTCCAATCAGGGTCACAATAGTTAGAAAAGAACAGTTTTAGTACAAACGGTTATTATAACAGGGCTTTCAGTAACAAGGATTTGCCTGGTAAGAAATAAGAGGAACTTGCTGGGGAGATAGTTCAGCGGCTTAAGCACTTGCCTGGCAAGTGCAAAGTCCTGAGTTCGGTCCCTGGTACAGAAAAGAAAAAAAAAAAGGAATAAGAGGAACTCTACAGAATACAGAAAAAAAGAAAAAAGGCACTAGAGCTCCAACAGCACTCAGAGCTGGCTGGCATGCTCACTGTGGCTGAGGGCCCTGCTAACCTAGGAGCCACCCCAGAAATGCTGTGAGTGCTGTAAGAGTCTGGCCAGTGAGCATTCAAGGACCGAGAAGCAAAACCTGTTTCTCCTGAAAAATGTCCTCAGTGTGCCTTTCATAGGTAAAGATTAACAGCAGGAGAGCTGGTAGAGAAGTCTTTAAACAGCCTGGTTTAATTTTCAGTGAATAGGCAAAGAAAAGGTGAATTTAGAGCTGAGAGGCAATACATTGATAAGTAAGAAAAGAACCCTGCACTTCCTCCATGCAGGAAATCCTTACCTGCTGCAAAGGCCACCTAAAGAGGTCACTGGAGAAGATGGATGGAGAAGGACAGGTACTAAGACTATACAGAAAGGAAGAGGTCCAGACAGTGCAGTAACAGCCCCTGCTGCCTGTAAGCTGAGGCATAAAGCCTCACTCAGACTGAAGAACGGCTGTGGTTTATGCTACAAGGGTTTAGAGCGGTTTGTTAGACAGCAATTAAAAACCAAAAGAAACCATCTCTGCTTTATGTCTGTTTCAATTTGTTGCCCAAACTACTGTTAAACTTTAGGGGCAAAGAACATGACCATTAATTTGCTAATGCTTTTGAGACCTGCAGAGAGCTCAGGACAGGACAGCTCAGGACAGAGGAGACAGCTTAACTTAGTTTGGAGGATCCACTTCCAAGATAGCTCACTTAGAGGACAAGCAAATGGGTGCTTGCTACATTGGCTGGAAGTGCAGTCAGAGGCTGTGGCTAGGTCCCCAGTACCTGTGCAGCTGGCTTCTCTTTGTGTCTGTGCTGGACTTACCACAGCACAGTGGCTGGGTTCAAAATACAAGCATTCCAAGAGGAAGTGTTTTGAGAATAAAAACCAGCTGTATGTATATACACACTTCTCAAGGTCCTTCTCAATCCATGCAGGGATACCAGGGCATGAAACATGAAATGACATAACAGGACACTCTTCCTAGTTTCACAATGTAAATATATCTTATAGCTTGTAGTGTGTGTATGATATTACAATGTTTAACTCCGCATAAAATCTTGCTGGCTGCACAGACCACCCTTAGGTGGGTAGGGAAAGCGTAGGCAATCTCTAGCTATACCAATATCAGGCCAGAGGCCAAGCATGTACGAATAGTAGTCCAGTGTCATACCGTTCCATTTAGCCTGCCAAGGTAAGAGGCAACATTCCTCTGCCATTATAACCCCAGGGCCAGGTACTGGTACCATGGGTTACTTTTTTAGTGTGGAGTTTGCTGAAATTATTCAAATTAGCCCTAAACTATTCACCCAGTCCTCCCTTGATTTTCCTGCAGAAACCCTAGGAAAGTTCCTGATCTGACACTTTCCCTTGCTGCTGTCTCCTACCTCCTGGCCAGCCTCGAGTGCCATGTCCCTTGGAATTATATGTATAAGAAACATGAATTTCCTGGGCCCCTCTGTGTCCTCTTATGCCCATATTGGCCTATCTCATAAAGAAGAAAATGTAACTCAAACCAGTTAGGTGAACCCACATTTACAGATGTAAGAGCTTAAGAGTAGACTATAGGAAATCTTTCTGTTGCTTATGAAATATTCCTTTATATGGAGCAATATGCTGCTAATGAAACCTCTAAAACAGTGATGGGGAAACTTAGAGATGAGCACCCAAACTGAACCCAAACCCCACTTACTTATCACAGAGTGCCAACGCTGCAATTAAACCTGAATACTGAGGGTTTAGTTTTGGAAAAACAACTTTACAGTAACATCTTTTGCCTTAAAAGAAATACACAGTAACATGTGTACCATTGATTTGCCACCACTGCTCTAAATCTTTTACAAAATTAGGAGAATGTATGTTTTGGAACTGAAACAGTATGCCCTAAGGCCACAAATATACCACTTATGGTACCACAAAATATTGCCACATTTTGCTACAAAATAAACCTGTGAAGGTGTTTCCTGAACCTGTCTCTGAAATTATATTACAGCATAAACAAGTACACAGTAAAAACATGGTCTATATTGCCTTATAATCACCTGAAATCAGAAGTCTGAATTGTGAGCCTGGCAGTGCTACTACCTAACTGTGGCCCTTCACCCAGTAAACTGATCTTTCTGAAGCTCAGCTCCAGAGTTTGGGTACTTGTTCCCAAGTATCTGGGCTGAGTAAGAGCTTATGTGCTTCCTGCTTTAACAGTTATCCATTGTCATTAGGTAGTAGGAATTGTTTCCCTAGTGCGTTCTAATATGAATTTTAAGAGGTCATCATTATCAAGAACAGGCTTAGCTCAGGCTTCTGAGCTACAGAAATCATTTATTAAATTACATTGGTAACGGCAGAGATTTTCACTGCCCACTGAAAATCAAATGAGAAAGACACAGCCGATGCAATCTAGACAAGAGGTAGCAACAAGAAGAAAGCATTAGCCCCAGGAGGAGACACATCCCTTTGTTATAACCAGAGAGAATGAGGACAACATATATAGCAATACAGGCAGATTTACATGCTTTATATTAGGAAGACAAGGATTCCGATATGATAGCTTCTATTTTCTTTACAAAATGAGGGACTTAAAGTTTCCTAGAGGCCAGGGAGATGGCTAGGTAGAATAAGCGCTATCCTGGCACGTGCAAGGGTCTGAATTTAATCCCTGGTTCCACCAAAAACAAAAACAAAAACAAAAAGAATTTCCTAGGGACTTTGAGCCAATGTATTAGGGCAAGTGATAAACTGTCCACAGCAATAATTTAGTCTTACAGAAACAATTTTTAATAAGCAACTATTATTACAATAGGATTCCATTCTTTTAAAGCAGAAATGTATAGAAATAAGTAGTAAACTGGAAATCTTTACCTTACACGTGGATTATTACTTTCTCAAACCAGAAAGCACAAACATTTATTTAAGAATCAGCTGCATGGAATCATCGCTTTTTGGGTCAAAATACATGTTTATTTTTTGATTATGAGAACTCACTTGTGTGACGCTTCCCAGGCCTCCTCTTCTGCCAGAAGATCTCTTATGATGTCTGAACTGGAACTAAAATGATACGCACGTTAGTAATGCCAGATGATAACACTGCACGGATCCACTTACATAAGTACCAACTAGTCCTTTGTGACAGGATGAACCAGAAGGCTAGTGCCAATGACCTGCACTGGGCCTGGGGTGGGGCAAAGAGGGTGACGAATGGCACAAGGTCACGGGGGGAGAAGAGGGTTCACTGTTTTGAGCATGAAGATGGTTTCAAAGCTACATCCATCATATATGGAAACTCAACCAGACTGCTCTTTAAACACTTGGTTTATTATATAACATTTGGATTTCAACAGAGCTATAAAAAACATATTATCAATAATGAAAAAAAATTACTAAAGCTCAAATAAATCCCTCATCATAAAACCTAGATCCAAATGGAATACCTTCATGAGACTTTTTACCTCCCTGTATCAACCACCAAAGATCAAACTGCGCCTCATTCAATCCATAGCACCATGGGGAAAAATTTTTGCAAAACGAATTCTACTAGTAAGATTCATAAACGTTCCTAAGTAGCTTTTTAGTCTCTTTGTAATCAAAAGAACATTTACTTAATTTGAACACTGGTTATAATGGTAATTAGGTATAAGTGTAATCTGGCTTAAAGAATTACATTTATGTCCTTAATAGAAACAGAACAAACTCTGTTAAGGATTTTAGCATCTTGTTCTTTCCCAAATCAATACAGAATTACTTTTAGAAAGAATGTGCATGCATCAGTATTAAAAAGCACTTCTCCTGGACATTCAACACGCAGAAGGCCACGAGCTCTGTATGGGACAAGTCAGAAGTAACTCTCGCCTACTCTGGGGAGTACAGAAGACTAAAACAAATCCCATTCACATGAGAAACAACAGACTGTAGCGATGCTCATACCAATCGTATTTTAATGATACTCTAATAATAGCAAAAGTTTCAAATTATGAAGATTTAGGTACCAACAAACCATTCTCAGCCACTATCACTTTGTTTTGTTTTTAAGGCATAAGGAAGTTTATGAGGCAGAATTCCATGCACTCTTCTAAAAGAGAACAGAGTACAGGCCCTCAAGAGAGAGATGTTATGGCCCAGCACTGGAAATATTTGTGGATTTGCGGGTAGAAACTCCTCAGGAAGTTTCTAACAAGTACTTTGTAACCATGTTTGTGTATGATGCCTGAATAAGACAAGGACATAGAGCCATTAAATACAGTTCAGGACTTCCCCTTAAGCTCCTGGCACTCTCAAGGAGCTATAAGCAGGGCCAAGGGTCACCCTGACTGTGACTCTCACGTGTCATGGTTTAGGTGTGGAGACCCCTCACAGTGCAAGTGTGTTGCCCCTCTAATGGAACTTGCACAATAGTTCCCAGACTTTGGAGGACATGAGGGTCACATGGAAGTAGTAGTACTTCTAGTATCTGAGAAAAAAAAATGATAAAGAACAATTATGCATTTAATAGTACTTTTACTGTGTATTTATTCAGTGTAGCAGCACAGGTATGTTTTTAAAATAGTACAAGTATTTGTGAAACTGTTTTGTCCAGAGACAATTCTCCTTTGTGTACATGTGTGCTGTGCGCATCCCTTCAGCCCTCAGGTGGGGAACCACCGATCTAGTTAGTAGTCCCTGCGCACCTGCTATTCTGACGCTGGGATGGGCCCTGCTCAGGGGCCAGTGCTCCTAAGAATGGTCAGCACATTAATGTATCATCTATTTTACCTAAAGCTGGCTTAGGTAGGCTTTCCCATTACACAATTGTCTACAGGTAGTTTTTATTGAGAGGAGGAGGAGGAAAAGTAGAAGACCTTGAAGGACATTAAGCAGATTTCGCCAGCTTTGTCACTGTCACAAGAGACAGGGCCACACTTACTAAGTGCGAATTCTATTCACAGCTACTGACTGCACTGACGCCAAAGGGGTTCTCAACCTCCTTACCCATAAGATCTCAGCTCTTGTATCTCATACTTCAGAGACAACTGTTTCAGTTCATTAGAACACAGAGGTTGCTTTAACCTAACCTTTCGACCCCAAGCCATCCATTCTTCACTGCCTGGCATTTTGCAACCTTTTTTCATTATTGTTTCCCATAGGAGTCTTTTTACATCCCCCCCCCCCCGCCCTTTAATGAATTCTCCTCATTAAAGTTTTTTTTTCCCCATAATTTTATTGAGAGACAAATAGCAATGAGACAGTTTCAAATCAAATTGGTAGGACAGTTTCAATAATTAACACACTGCATACTCTCTTCCTAGTGGTTATTTGCTGTACAAGATGCAGACACGATATCCTATTTACAAACACTATTAGAACAAATCCCTTTATTCATTAAAAGAATGTAACTATATCCTAACCATTTTGACTACACAGATACAAAATGGACATTCATCTATATCTACTTTCTTGTTTAGTTCTGTCATTTGAATATTATAGGTGTGTAAACTCAGCAAAATATTCTAAAAGAGTCCAGTAGTCCATAATAGTATAGGGTCTTCTGCTTGACTGGCAATGTCAGAAATTGTTGACCTGAGTCCCCTACAGCTCAACATAACACCATGGCTTTACTTCTTGTACTTCGTTTTTATACTTTTCTGCTGGATCATGAAAGTTTAACACCACAAATATGTTTATGGTTTATCCTTTTAGGTATCGTATGTATGTATCTGGGCTTTGTACATAAAAGGAGTATGGTTTTCTTGTTCCTTCAATCCTATAAGCAGTTCTTTTATTTGAACACTATTGGGGACTGGACCAGGGCCCCTACCACTGAGCTACATACACAACTGTTTTTAAAATTTATTTTGAGACAAAGCCCACTAAGTTGTTCAGGATGGCCTTGAACTTGCAATCCTCCTGCCTCAGCCCCTGGGTAGCTGGGATTATAGGACTACACCATCCTCCCCACACCATTCTCAATCCCCTGGGGCTGGTATCATGCGTGCTGAGAGCCAGTGGGCTGAGGAGTGGGAACGAGGGTGATCATTTGTCTCTGGATTCTGCAGGCATCACACAGAAAAAAGCCAAGTTAGCCTCTTGCCAGTGACCCCACTTCCCTCCTCCCTAACACACACACACACACACACACACACACACACACACACACACACTTTTTTAAACAGGAAACTTACAAAGCATCCCTACCATTCTAGCTAAGTAAGCAGGATGGCCAAGCCTGTCAACTAACCTACTGGAGTCTGTCTAATTCACCTCATCCTAGGGACTTTCAAATCACCAGCACAAATCACTGGTTTGTTAAAGGAAAATATTTGTGTACACTAATGGCATAAACCTGAGAGGTTCTGTTAGGCTGCCTCAGTGGAAACAGATGGTGGAAGAGGTTTAAAAAAAGGACCTCTGTAAGGGGCAGGCAATCTCCTCTCCTTCCCTGACTTCAATCCCACTGTCCAGCTTGCTGACACTCCCACAGCCTCCAACCCCTACTTCCTCTCTTTCTGCTCCATCTCTGGCATTCTACTGAGTGACCTCCAAACCACAAAAGCTTAAGAAATGTGACTTTACCTACAATCAAGCTGCAGGAGTTTCTGCTGTATCTGTTATTCCAGTTCTAGTCACCTCTGAATTACTAAGTAAGGTTGATGCTAAGACACTGAAATACCAGACAGAACGGCTGCTTCCTTCTTAAAGTAATGTATGTGATTCCATTCTACTCCAAAGCCACAGTCCTGAAATTTAAGCACTTGGCTGGCAAGTGCAAGGTCCTGAGTTCCAACCCCAATGCCCCTCTCCCCCCCCACAAAAGGCGCTGAGTTATAAATGTCAGTATCACTAGAATTATCACTCAGATCTATTCCTTGTGGGTAAAAAAAATAATATTTTTGAGGTCTTAATCATTTTAGTATGCATTAGAGATCAAAATTCCCTCAATATACCTTCAAGACATCTTTAAAAATCCTTCACAGGAGAAAATTAATTACACACTCCTGTAGATTTGTGGTCAGAGTATGCACAAGCTATATAACTATAACTTTTAAGTGTCTGGCAAGGAATTTTTTCCGAGTGAATTTGAGTTTCTCCCCTTTTGGCTTCAGACCATTCTAGAAGACCACACTCTTAAGAAGCTGGATGAACCTAAGGTCTGGCATATGAAAAGTTGCAGCTTCTTTAAGGAGAGGAAGTCAAATCATGCACTGACTTGATCAGTGATCTGGACATTATTACGCAGATTACACATTAGGAAGTCTTACTGGTAAAAAATAATCAACCTTGGATTCTACAAGTTCCCAACGTCTAGTAGAATTAGCTGAGTCACTCATACTTAATTTTTCGTATCATCCAGACTTTATTTACATGTGTCTGCTCTTAGCTGGTCTTTCTAAAGAGCTTGGCACATAGTATGTGTTCAACAAATGCCAATTCCATTTTCATAAAACAGGCTTGAGTCTGAGTTACCTAAATAATTACTTAGGTACTGTTTCAACTATGTCAATTTCAGCACTATATTTCAATTTGTGCTGAGAAACCTGATTACTTTGTACACCATTTAAATCTTTTGTTTCCATGGTTTCTACGACACCAACGTACAAATTCATCAGACTTATTTATCCAGCATGGCAGGTACAAAGAGTAATGTGGGGTGGAAAAAATGCAAACATCTGCTATAAAAATCCTGTGGATTAAAGATTACTCATAAGTGGAATTTTTCTATTTTCTAATATTTATTCCTTTTCTCCCATCTCTTACCTTAAGTGTGACATCAATTTGAATGTGGTTAAATATATGCAGTATTAAAAACAAAACAAGCAAAAAATAAAAAAGAATAAAAAGAAAGAACTTACAATCAAGTAATACATATGAAAGCCTTAGTAAGAGATGAGTTCATGCAAAAATAACTAAGCTTATGTTGCTTTACAAAGCGGTCACAATCTATGGCTATCTCATTTGGTTTTTAGAGACATCTAAGGAGGTTAGCATGGAAAAACATTTAAAAAGAACTACAACTCCTTTTTTTTTTCTTTAAATAAGAAAATGGAAGCTAAGTGAGAATTTATTTCAAACACTGC